GCCTGGGTCGGCTCGGGCCCTGGGGTGCCGGCCCGGCCCCTGGGCCGAGCACCCCCAGCCCGCTCAGCACTGCCGGGCCCCCGGCCGAGCACCCCCGACCCGCTCAGCACCTGCCGGCCCCCGGCCCGCATGTCCCGATTTTCCCGGACATGTCCGGCTTTTGGGGATTTCCCCCCGGACGGGGATTTGGAGCCCAAAAAGCCGGACATGTCCGGGAAAATCCGGACGTGTGGTAACCCTAGGAGTAAACAACTGTGCATATCTCTCTATCAGTGTTATAGAGGGCGAACAATTTATAAGTTTATAAATTTACCCTGTATAAGCTTTATCTGGGATTTATCTGGGATTAGACCCCATTGGGAGTTGGGCATCTAAGTGCTATAGACAAGCACACTTCTGTGAGCTGTTTTCAGGTAAACCTGCAGCTTTGGGGCACATAATTCAGACCTGGGTCTGTGTTGGAGCAGACGGAAGTGTCTGGTTCAGCAAGACAGGGTGCTGGAGTCCTGAGCTGGCAGGGAAAACAGGAGCAGAGGTAGTCTTGGTACATTAGGTGGCAGCTCCCAAGGGGGGTTTTCTGTGATCCAACCCGTCACAGGCATTAAAGCATCAGGTAGAAATTACTCCATCTTGGCAAGATGGAGATTTCGTTTCTTTGTGTAGGTGCAACCGCAGAAGCTCAGATTCATAGATCCACATGTAGCAATCTGTCAGATGTGATTATAAGGATAGCCATATTAATCCATTGTATTTGACTCAAATTTGATCTTTAATGAACATTTTCTATACTTCACATGCTTTATTACTACTGCTGCACGATAAAATCATGGAACTAATGATAAAATTATGATGCCTTAAAATATACAGGCAGGAGAGTGGGTGGTTATGGAGGTTTGTTTCCCCTCCCCCAATTTCCATGGTCTCTCATCTCTCTCTCAACACCCATTCTCAGGTAGTCCATGTAATTTCCCCAAGATTACACAGTAGGTCAGTGGCAAAGCTGAGAATGAAATCTAGGAGTCCTGGCTCTCAGGACCCTGTTCTAATCACCAATCTAAATTTCCTCTTTAGACAGAGCTATTATATGCAATACAGTCTTTTCTGAGCCCTCTGTTTTAATATATGCATTGGCTTGATCCACGAAATAAAATCTGGTTCCTCTACTTTTTTCTTTTTCAGGTGGATTGAAGCCATGGAAGAAGCAACCATATTATAGCAGTAATCCATCAAGAGGACTTGGAATAAACTCTCAGATTTCTCTACATTCCCATCAGCCCGTTTCTGTTTCAAGAAGCTGAGTAGTGTATTTCAAACCACCTGGCTATACACTCTGGATATGAACTGTTTCCAGATTGCTATCTTTCTTTTGCTTCCTTCATTTTAAATCCACATTTTTTTTTGCAAGTTGAAAACTTTAAAATAGAGAATATTCATGGTCCTCTTTATGTCTGTGCGAGTTCAACCTGTGCTATAACTCATTCCCATAATCCCACAGTAAGTTAAGTTTTAACATCAAGACAAGAAATAGATACAAATTATTTCTGAACTCACATGGAAGTACTGGCTAACAGTAAGTAACAGGCTCAGTTTTACTTACCCTAGAGAACTATCAACTTTCATTTTGTTGGTTTTGGTGTCTACCATGAAATAAGAAATAATGCAGTAAACCACAGATTCTCATTTAAAGCACTTTATTGTTTTATTGTATTACAGCTTCATTTTTTTCAATGTTTCCAAGGAATTTTGTGGACTGATTTACCACCAGTCCATTAACAAGTGCCAGCATGAAGTCGTGCACTGCATACAATAAATTGCTTCCACAGACAATGAACAAATACATGCAATGCACTATGTATGGTCTGCCAGTACTCCAATGGCTAGGATCCAGGGTGATTACTTGCCAATTTATAATTTTACATAAATCACTGTATAATTTATTTAATACGTTTCATTTCTTACCACTACAGTACTTTAAAATGCACTACGGTAGCTCTCCAAACCCACATGCTGAATACCGTTTTCCCCTGTAGATTGTATCTGACTGAAATCCAAAGGATATTTTAATTTATTGTAAGCCTTAAGACAGTTTTCATTTGACACCGGTCGACTTATTAGTGTTAGATTATTTAAATATCTGATAGAATCTTTTTATTTTAAAAAGCCATGTTGTTACTGCTTTGATGACGTCTGATAAAGGTCATCAAAAATTTAATTCCTGTTACCAGCATATAGTAATAGATATGCTGGCTGGCTGAAAAACACTTGTCCGAACATGGTCTGTCAAAGTGCTTTGGAATTCCTGTGGCTAAATGCTGCTGTGCAGATCCCCAGGTGCTGTACATCAGCACAGCTCCACTGAAGTCAATGGACCTATCCTGATTTACACCAGCTGAGGATGTAGCCCTATAGGCTGAGTTTTGTTTGGGGTTTTTTTTATATAAAGAGAAAAAAGCAATGTTATAAATATTGTAATAAAATGATTTAATGTCATACACTTCTCCTAATACTAGACTGAGGAATAGACTGGCAGTTATGTGAAAGTAGATCTTTGTATAGACTACAACAGTCAAAGATTTACTTACATTAAAATACGTTTTCAGGGGGAAATGTTTTTTTATTACTAGCATTTTTAATATTTTTCTTCCGTAATTTGCATCAAAACCTGAATTTCTGGTTCAAATGGTGACTGGTTAGAATTGTCCATATTTTTTAAACGTTTACAAAATGTATTCAGGTGAAACTAAGTAGTCAGTTCTGTTCACCATTTGAAAAAATAATTACAAGTTTAAAAAAAATCTAATATGGACCTAATTGAACAGTGAAATGCAGTTGTGTAGTTTTGTTGATACATCTCAGTCTCTGATACTCTGTTGCATAAAGCACAGTCATATGCAAAGAGGAATTAATTATAAAAAGAATAAAGCTTTTGTATTATCTTAAAAGTGGGTAAACTCCAATGTTAACTCTGTACATTTTGTGTTACAACTATGGCCTTGCTTCCATTAGACTGTAAATGTTCTCTTTTGTTTTTTCATTTTTTTCCCTTTAAAAATCATTTGTTGGATTTGCACTGACAAAAACAAAGAATGTTAAATACAAAGTATAACAGATTTAAATCACTAACCAAGGTTTCAAACAAAAAACTGTGCTACAAATAACAGTATTATGAACATTTAGGTGCTGACATTTCGGCCCAGATCCTCAAAAGGTATTTAGGCACCTAACTCTCCCACTGAAATCAATGGGAATTAGGCCCCTAACTACCTTAAACGATCTGGGTCTTGGTGACTTGTATGAAGTTTTCAGTAACTGACAGGAAATAAATACATGAAAATATTTTGTTGTAAAAAATAAATACAGTGCTATTAAACTTCTTGTTTTAAGTAATGTGGAAAAATTAAAAAGCAACATATAATTCCACTTTCACTGGTTTTTCCTTTACATTTTTATTAATTAGTACATTATTATTTTCTTCCTATTTCCACCTTAGCATTTCATACACTCCTGTGGTATTAACTAGCACTTACTTGAACCCAGTTCTCCCATGTCCTACTCCTAACTAACATCCTAACTATTGGACCCATCCTTCATTCTCTCCTTTTCAAAATTTGTGGTATTGGAGATTCCCATTTTTAGAATTTTGAAAAGGAGAGAATGAAGGATGGGTCCAATAGTTAGTGGACATGGGAGAACTGGGTTCAAGTCCCTGCTTTGCCATAGACTTCCTATGTGACCTCGGGCAAGTCACATTAGCCTCGGACTACATTTTCCATCTGTAAAATGAGGATTACAGCAGTTCCCTACTTCACAGGTAGGGCGCTACCAAATCCATGGCTGTGACAAACACGTCCTGGACCGCGAAATCAAATCTCCCCCATGAAATCTAGCTATTGTAGGGAAGTAGGAGGGGCAGGGTTTGGAGTATCCCAGCCAGGGGCTCCTACCACGCACTGGGCTCTAATTACTAGTCCTAGTGGGTCTGGTAAGGGATGAGACTGCTTTCCTTGCACAGCCACTCGGGGGGCGGGGGGGGAAATCAGACCCACCTCTGGGTACCTTCCCTGGCTGCAGGAAGCTCCATGGCTGCTGCCTTCAAAGCCCAGCTCTGAAAGCAGGGCAGAAGTGAGGGTGGCAATCCCACGACCCTCCTACAATGGCCTTTTGGGTTGGGACCCCCCCAGTTACAACACTGTGAAATTTCAGATGTAAACATCTGAAACTGACTATTTTTAAAATCCCATTATCATGAAATTGAGCAAAATGGACCATGAATTTGATAGGACCTTACTCATAGGGGTGTTGTGAGGATAAACATTAAAGATTGTGAAGTGTTCTCATACTATCATAAGAGGGAGCCTATAAGTACCTATGATAGGATAGCTCAGCTCCAGGACAGTAGTGCTGCTGGGGAACTGGGAAAAGAGAGGCTACCAAGAGAACCTAATTTTTCAAAAATGATAATGATTTTGGGTGCCTGATGGAGACACCGTAATAGGTCCTACTTTTCAAAAGGCAGGTGGCTCCACACTTTCTAAAAGTAATCATCTTCAGAGCAGAGTGTTATTTCTAAGGTAGCCTGCATTCAGTGGAGTCAGACCGGCTGCAAATTGTAAAGTTATCAGGGAATACATCCATCAGTTTTAAAGCATTTTACTACTACTGACAAAATTATATGCATAAACAGAGTCATCAGAAGGCACATAGTATTTGTTTCTCTGATATGAGATCTTTCCTTTCCTGGAGATTACATAGTAAATTGCTCTTAAAATCTTATTTCATGAATGCTAAGTGATTTGGCTCAAACTCTGCATCTCAAACCTGGGTAATCCCTTCATTAGGAAGGGAAGAAATGGAATGGAAATATTCATCTCTGTGTTCCTTTGCCCAACACAAACGTAACAGAAGTGACAGTTCAGCCTACCAAGGATGGAGCATGGTCACATATTCACATGCCTACGTTGGAATATAATGCTTGAATAAGGGCAATGGGAAAACAAAACAAAACAAAACAAAAAGAAAGCAACAGCTCAAGTCTTAAAATCTGGGGCTTTTATACATTTTTGACAGCTAACTTCAAAGCAGTTTCAGAAAGAAACCAGCACACACCTTCAAGTCCATTTCAAAATCAATCTACAAGGCTGAATTTTTGCTCACAGAGCCAGATCCCTGAATGATCCTGTGAAGGCACTTCTTTAAAACTCCCCATGTCACCTGCATTCCAAAAAGATGTGGTTGTAGCAAACAGACAATGTAGCACCAGTGTTAGGGTGGAGAGGGGTACATCAAGTCTGAAGTTGGTAGGAGAGGCCTTCAAGTAGAAAGAGATCTTGACATAATGCTGTAACCACGTTTCAGTCTATATTTCACAGAACTCTGTTCCCTCTAGAGAACCACTTCCCACCAGCACTTTGGGCATGGATGTAAAAGACCGTTTTAGTACAGAGAGACAAAAAGGAAGGGGAAGATTTCATTCAATTTCAGTCCAACTCTTTATCCTACTGAACCAAGTCAAACACACACTTATACAGCAGGCAGAAACGACCTTAATTTGAGTTAAACCAGTAATCCAGACCGGGATTAGTGTTGGTAAATCCCTTTTACAAAAGATGCATCATCTCAGAACAGAGGCATTTAAAAACTTGGTTTGGCCTCTGCCGCCTCTATGCCCCTCTAAATTACATACATCTCAGTTATGTCCCTCCTGATTTCCTTGTGGATAACAACTGTCTCCACTTTGTTATAATCTCTATCACCAGTTATTCTCTTTTGTACCTTTTCAAATGTTGCTATTATATTTCTTGTAATAAGGCACCCAAAACTGTGCCCAATACATCAGACACTTTTCTAGGGATGATTTGACTAGTGATTTAGTCCAATGTTCTGTTTGCTATGTTAACTGCTGAAAGACATTTTAACAGTTATAACAACCAGTCTTTTTACCTACATCTTGCAGTATATGTTCATTTAAAACATTTTTTTAAGTCCTCTTCACAGTTTTTTCCATGCCAAATTATATAAGCCACTTGTGCGTCTAGCTCAGCACTTTTTCTTGTTGCTTTGGAGCCATTCTCCTTCCTCTTGGCACACTAACACTGTTGATATGTAAACATTTGTAAATATCTACACTTTCTCATAAATCCCTTCTCTTAGATCATTATTGGCTACCACTCCCCAGGACTCATGCTCTGCCATATATATTAACACTGGGCCAGATTCTGATAGCATTGCTTAAGGTGAAAAGCACTACTCCACAAGCAGTCCCATTTACATCTCTATTTAAAAAAAGCCCAAATGAAGAACAAATTACAGAGCCACATGAATTGTATCACAGGAATACCACTAGTGTAACTGATTAAGAACAAAATGGCCTTAAGCCACCTTTGTGGACTGCTCCAGGCATCAGTGCAGCCCTGGGACAAATTACAACAGCTTCAGAGGCCGTTTAACTTATGGCAGACTCCCCACAGCTTTGCAGTCCAATCACAGATATGCCTGATCTGGTTCTGGCTTGCCTCTACGATGGGATGTATGGGTAGGGGTACGGTAGAGCCATGTACACTAAACATATGCTGCTCCTGCCCCAGGGATCCCCCTAGGGGCAACTACTGCCCCCACACCCAATTGGGGCAGCATATAAAGAACTAGAATCTTGTCGGGTGAATTTCAGTGCTCGTGCAAATGAAATGTCAGAGCACAGGGGGTTAAATCTGCCAGTGCAACTCGAGGTGCGTATCTGCAGCACCAAGTTATTAGAATAACAGTCCTCTTTTTAGCCCACTTCCAAACTGCATGTGGAATAGGGAGGGTAAAGCATGAGGTAATGTGAACAAATGTCATCTGGACTTTATACTGAGACTACTAAAATCTTCTTTCACTTGTGACTACCTTGATAGAACCAAAGCTCTGTACTCAGCCCAGGATCTAAAGCCAGTAGATCTGAACTTCCAAACTCTTTTATGTATGTAACTATATTCACATATAAAAATCATGGAACTACTCACATGAGTGAAGCTATTCTCATGTGTAAGTGCTGCAAGATCAAGCCCTTAATCTCAGCAACCTCTAGGAAACTACTGGGAATTTTTAAAAATACATATGAAACTGCAGGATGGGGTTCATTTGGTGTGGCTGGGTGCTGGGGAGGGGGAGTAAGGGATTCTGTAATCTTTGAGTTTATTTTAGTACAGCAGTCAAGTATGTGTTGGGTGTGATGTTTGGAAGAATAATTTTATTGCAGACATCAAGCTTCTTTTCGCCATGCATGCAGTTTACCTGAGCAGATTTTATGAGCTGCACCTCCTTCCTAAACAGTAACTGTCCGACAAGGTGTCTATTAATTCTCTGCTGTAACCCATATGAAATCTGTATCTTGCACTGAAAAACTAAGCCGGTGTTAGTACTACCCTTTATGAAACTGAAAAAATATTCCATATTATGTTAGGCATCACACTTCACCCCAATTAGTAAGACTTTTCAGTAGACCACAATTAGAAGGGGTGTAAGAGTGTAGATGGCATATAGCCTATATTAGCATAAAGGATCATAAGAAAGCAAGAGATTAGAACTATACACAGAATGGTTCCTAAACCACTGGTGAAGAGGATACAATAAGCCCCATTGATTGGGCATCATGTGAACTTTCTATGTACTATAACTAAGTCACAGTAGAGCTGGTCAGAACTTTTTTTTAACAAAAGCCTATTTTGATGAAAAAGATGTTTTCTCAAAGCCAAAACATTTCATGGAGACAGTTTTTGACTAAGTTTTCAAGGAGGTTTCTTAGGTCCAGGATGATGCTAGAGAGACCTGAATTTAAACCACCACCATCACAACCACCACCACCAAAAAAACCCAACCCTGACTTCTGACACAATTCTGTTTCATAAAAACATTTAAGAAGTTTTGTTTCCATCCCACTGTAGAATGAAAACAAGTTTCAAGGCCTTAAAAGCTGTCACGAAAAGGAAGTGTTGTTTTCCAACCAGCTCTATTTCTAATATCACCACTTAACTATGTGTTTTGCAAATGAGACTTTTAAAATCAGAGTTTGTAGCTCTGTTCACGTGTTGGTAAGTGAGTGTTGGAGCCATGCTCGGTGACAAAGATTTCTTTAGGACCTTTATTCATGGGATACATTTGTCCAGAGTTTTCCTTTCACCTTTATGTCCTTTTCTCCCTCTTGTTAACATGGACAGACCACAAAAATGAGAATCAATTTTAAAAGGATTTGTATGGACAGCTTAAATAAACTGATAGCCTTTTATTTACCAGTTGAAAAGGGGCCAGATCAATCAGAAAATGCACTATTGTTGTAGTCAAGTTGCTAGCAGACAGTGCCCTCATCATGAAAGAGCCACAGGAACTGGAAATAATTTGAACCCACACTGACACTCCCAACAGAATAAAAAGTACTGCATCGT